GATTGGATATTCTGAAAATGATATCAGAAAAAGACTGCCCTTGGCTGGGCACAGTGGCTCACACCTGTAATCCCAGTATTTGGGGAGGCCAAGGCAGGTGGATCACCTGAGGTCAGGAGTTCAAGACCAGCCTGGCCAACATGGTGAAACCCTGTCTCTACTAAAAACACAAAAATTAGACAGGCATGGTGGTGCATGCCTGTAATCCCAGCTACTCAGGAGGATGAGGCAGGAGAATCTCTTGAACCCGGAAGGCGGAAGTTGCAGTGAGCCAAGATCGCACCATTACACTCCAGCCTGGTCAAAACAGCACGACTTCTTTGTCTCAAAAAAAAAAAAGAAACTATCAACCAGAGTCTCACAGAATTAAGAGTCTACCCAAGAAGAAAGTATCATACAAAGTTGTCAATGAGGAATTCAACAGGATGGATATCCAGCTAGATGTACTTTTAAAAGAACATCTGAATCTAGAAGCTTTGCTATAAGACCACAAGCCAAATATCTAACCCTGACCAGTTTTGTTATCCCTTTGTTCCTAAGAGATTATACAGAGGAGTAAAATACAAATTCATGGTCAGTGTAAGAAAAACTCAAATCTGTAGCATAACCTTCACATACAAAAAAATAATATTTAGGTACTGAGTAAAGAGAGATATATAAAATCACTGTGAAAGTTGTCAGTGACAATGGCTGGCTCACTCCTCATGAAGATATGAAAGGTGGGCTTTTTGTTTTTCTTTTAATAGGGAGACCACATGTGACAGCAAAATGCCAGATTAAAAGAAAGGTTAAAATGAGGATTAAGAGTTTATGGCTCACCAGAGAAGATAGTTGTCAAGGTTGGAATGGGGGTAGGAGCAGCTAGAATTCAAGAATTAGCAGTAATATTTCCTTTTAAATCTATTAAATTCTAAATGTTCTTTTTTAACTCTCATTTACCCTACTTGACCCTACTCTACTTACATAACAAGCACCAAAAAAGCAGGAAAAGCACACCATTCATCATGTGTTGACTATATGGCAACCTCTCAAATCCCTGCTTTGCAGCCAAAATAAAGATGACAAACTCCATACCTTTAAGCCCATACCCTTATACAGAACTGGCTCTCAGACATTTCTCACTTATAATTTAAACACTGGTAAATAGCCTTGCTTATCTATCTGGTCTCATAAAAGATTAGAAGCATCCAATAATATTAGGGGGGAGGTATAGACAAGCAAGTATATTTAATATATTAAGGAGGTATAGACAAGCAAGTATACTTAATATATTAAGAAATGATAGCTAACATGGAAGCAAGAGTCGGCCGGGCACGGTAGCTCACACCTGTAATCCCAGCACTTTGGAAGGCTGAGGCAGGTGGATCACGAGGTCAAGAGTTCAAGACCAGCCTGGCCAACATGGTTAAACCCCATCTCTACTAAAAATACAAAAATTAGCCGGGCGCGGTGGCAGGCACCTCTAATCCCGGCTACTCAGGAGGCTGAGGCAGGAGAATCGCTTGAACCTGGGTGGCAGAGGTTTCAGTGAGCTGAGATCACACCACTGCACTCCAGCCTGGGAGACAGAGTGAGACTCCATCTCAATCAATCAATCAATAAATATATAAATAAATAAATAAAGGCAGAATCAACAGCCTCAAAATACAGCTGTCTGGAACCATTACATTTAGGGGGCAAATTGTCCTACGTACTTCAATAATACCAAGGTATCACCAAACAGTAACTATTCAGATTATCTTAAGTGCTCAAAAAAGGCAATATTAGGGTCTGAACACTGTATCCACTGTGATGGAAATACAATTTATTTAAGATGGGTAAAATACTTTTTAAATCTCACATAAATCATAAGTGCATTACCTAAAAAAAAAAGTTACACATTGTAGATTCCAGAACTAAAAACACAGACCATATTTTCTGTTGCAAAACATGGGCAGTGGTTAAAAAAAAAAAAAACAAGGCACAAAAACTTAAAAATCTTTGGATAACACATCAGCATGAGAAAGCAAAAGGAACAGAAAACACTAAAGGATAGAAAGACCGAGGTTTGAGTGTTGGCTCTGTTGACTAATATCTTTATAACCCTCTTCAACTTAACCTCTCAGAGTCTGTTTCTTCACCTGTAAAATGCAGATACCACCACCATCATTTACAAGGCTATAAGGACTTTAAAAACAATTAATTATCCAGAGAAGATGGGAATAAGTGGTGAAGATAAAGCCAGATGTTCTTAAATATATCTTGGTGCTTAAAAAAAATGTGTGGCTAATCAGCAAGCTTAAAATGAAAACAGCTTAAAAATAACTCTGAATCTTGTTTTGCTTCTATACCCAAAGACTTGGTCATTATATGTAGGTGAAAAAATCAAGTAGTTGTAGCTTGTAAAATGCATCTAGTTTTTCAACACTGTCAGACCTCGTTTTATGTTTCTATCATTAAATGAAAAGGTAGTGAGAGAACACTCACCTTGATGGAAAGTCTTTATTATCTGTGCTTGTCCGAGGACTTATGAGTAGATGACAAATTAAGGGAAAACAACTTTTGGGAATGGCGGAAAGAAGAACATCTCCCCTTTTAGTACAGCACCTCAGCTTGCAGGCCTATATGGGCTCTGACCAGTCTGGTAGCCTCAAACTCTACCAGCTCTGCTTGTCTGCCTCATCATTTTGCCCTTCTATTCCCAATGTCCCCGGCCCTAGGCACTCTCTGTTCCCTTTCTTCCTCTCTGTGATAATATAACCCGAAGGACTATAAATCCCTTAGTGGCATAAAACTCAGTCACCAAAGAAGTATTTTTAAATATCAAGAACATCAAGTATCCCACTTCCAGATTTCATACATTTTGAGAGAGTTAACTGGAAAGACCATTTCAAAACTAATAAGCCCTTAAGCATTTAAACCACATACTAAAAGAGTACAACTGTAAACATGACCAGTATCAAAGCTTTCCATTATACTGACTGAAAACATCAAAATGAAAAGGATATTGTTTCTTCTCTTCCTTTCCTCCTGAACTGTCCCGTTTCTCTTTCTTTTCTATCTTTTCTTTATCATGCCTGGACTCCTATAAGAAATGGTAGAATTAGTTGGGGAAGGGAAAACCAAACATAAAAGCCAGCTCAAAACCCCTTTTCATCACCCACAAGCTATAATTTGTCTTCAAAAACTTACTTAATATGACACCAAAAGCATAAGCAACAAAAGGAAAAAAATAGATACATTGAACTTCACCAAAAGTAAAAATATTCATTCATCAAAGAACACTATCAAGAAAGTGAAAAGACAACCTATAGAACTGGAGAAAAAATTTGCAAATCACATATCTCATAAGGATCTAGTATCCAAAATATATAAAGAACTCTTACAGCTGAGCAACAAAAACACAAACCCTCTAAATAAAAAATGGTCAAGGTATCTGAACAGATTTCTTGAAACATAAACAAATGGCCAATAAGCACATGAAAATATGTTCAACATCATTAGTTATTAAGAAAATGCAAATCAAAACCACAATGAGACACCACTTCGCACTTACTGGAATGGCTATAATAAAAAAACAAAAACAGAAAATAACCAGTGTTGACAAAGGATGTAGAGAAATCTGCACCCTCATACTTTGTTGGTAGAAATGTAAACTGTACAGCCACTGTCTAAAAGAGTTTGGTGGTTCCTCAAAAGTTAAACATAGAATTACCATATAACCCAGAAATTCCATTCTTGGGCATGTACCCAAAATAATTAAAAACAGGTGTTTGAACAAATACTTATAGCCCCACACAAATGTTCACAGCAGCACTACTGACAATAGCCAAAACGTGGAAACAACTCAAAAGTCTATCAACTGACAAATGGATAAATAAATGTGGTATATTCATATAATGAAATATTACTTGGCTATAAAAAGAAATGAAGTAAATGACATGCTACAACATGGAAGAACTTCAAAAAAACATTATGCTAAATGAAAGACATCAGACACAAAAGGCCACATTATTGTACTATTTCATTTATATAAAATATTCAGAATGAGTGAATCCATAAAGAAAATAGATTTATGGTTCCCAGGGGCTGAGGAGAAGGGGAAAATGGGAGTGACTGTTTAAATGGGTATAGAGTTTTCTCTTGGAGGTGGTAAAAATGTTTTGGAACTAGGTAGAGATGATTACACAATACTGTAAATATACTAAATGTCACTTAAATGTATACCTTTAAAATGATTAATTTTATGTTATTTGAATTTTACCTCAATTAAAAAACACCTAAAAGAACAGCCTATCTTTAAAGCATAGAATTAAAATGTTCCTTATATAATTTTCTAAAGCTGTTTTTATGAACTATGAATAAAAGGCATATATTTTCAATATATATAACAATGTTTTATAAACAATTTATACTTTAGTAATGGTTTGCTTATTACTTTATGGCAGATGCATGAGATTCATTTTAAATGTCAACCATTAATATGTAAGAGAATGTATCTTATACTCAATTTTTAAATCAAATACAAGTTTCAAACAAATGAGTTTATTAGGAGAAAACGTTACAAAAATGTTTCAAATCACAATCAAGACTTTTTGACGCTATGATGGTCAGAGAGAATACACGTGACCGTATTTTAATCTCAGGAATAAAGAGAAACTAAAAGCAAAGAGTTGGTGGAGAAAAAAGAAAATGCAAAGAACAGCTGAAACTCAATCAACAGAAGTAGGTGGGAATGGAATGGAGAGGGGAAAGGAATCTCAGAGGTATACTAACTCTACCCTCCTAGTAATCTGGGACTGAACTGACTCAAATTCCCCAAACACATAACCTGCCCTCCCTCAATACCTCTTCTTCCCACCCCTAAATAATGAACAAAAGACTGTATGACTAGGAAAAAAATTCAGTATTTGCTAAATTTTCAGAGTTGATTTTTTTAAGATAAAGCATATTATTCCTTTATTTTCCTAATTTACCTTTTTGCCACCGGAGGAGATTTTATCCATCTTCTCAGATTTAAATGAATCACTGCCTTTTTCTTTGCCTGAAGATTTTGACTTATTTTTTTCCTTGTCTTTCTCATTTGGATAAGGAGATTCACAAGGACTTTCACTTTTATGTTTTGAAACCCCCACTAAAATTACAAAAGAAAATCATGAAAGCCTTTTCCAATTCACTTCGATGATACCTTCAAAGATATGAATAAGTCTACCTACTTGTTCCATTCTCCTCTTTACGTCGCTTGGTTAAGTCCGGTGGCACTTCACGGTCGTTGTTTGAGTGATCCTAGAACCAAGAATTGTGAACTACATTGACCAAGGGCTTTTGTTTTTGTTTTAAAATATTACTTTTATATGAGAAGGGCACAGTTAACTAGCAATGGAGAATATTTGCAGTAGTTTCACACACTTGATAAAAATGGCATGAAAGACAAGCAGAGCTGATAGAGATTATTAGGCTGAAGATCCTTATTAATGTAGAAGATGCAAATACTTCGGGGTAAAAATATCATGAAAAAACAGACAACTATGGAACAAACTAGTATTTTTTAAAAGGCAACATACACACTGGTGTACATGACAATGAGCTTTCCAAACTAGTTTAAAAAAAATTACAAACCCTTTTCCGCTCTTTCCTGTCCTTTTCATCTTTTTTCTCTCTTTCTCTGGATCTTTCCCTTGACTTGTCCAAATCTTTCTTGTCCATTTCTCTCTCCTTACTCTTGGACAGTGGTGGAGGAGTATGATTAATGTAGAGCTGTTAAATCAAGGCAATATTACTAAAGATTATTAGTTTTCCAGTATTGGCATCATTTGTTTGTTTATTAAATGAAACACAATTGGGAATTATACCCAAAGTCAAAACTGGTCAGCTATCTGGATTACAAGAGGTAAAATAAAAGGGCATGGCACAAATTATACAAAGCCTTCAATTCTTGGCCTTATAAAAATTACCATTTAAACTCCATCAGTTCATTTGTGCCTCAACTGAGACTCATTAGTAAATTCACAAACTAGAGTATTCCTTATAGCTCTATTGTAAAGACCTATAACCACCATTACAAGAGTCCATATATGAACAATAGTGACTGGACTTTCTCTATTGTCAAAAAAAAAAAAGAAAGAAAAACACCTCTACACAATCATGAAAATTTTAAATAGTCTTACCATCCACTGACAGGAAGTCAATAATGGCAATGGGCAAAAGTATAAATATAAAACCTAGCCATGATTTTGCTAATAATTCTTTTCTGTCTCAGTGTGAACCATGCAAAGATTATCCCAAATTATTTTTACAAATGTAAAGGCTGTGTGTTCTGTACTGCTGAAAGCACTCCAATTTCTATCAAAATAATCACAATTAACTGTGAAATTTGTCTTCCTGGTTCTAAATACCTCAGAAAGCCATCTAATCAGTTGAGGATGATTAAACAATTCAAAAGACTAAAAAATAATGAACCAATATTCTCCTCTGCCTATCCTTTCTCTGCCAAAAGGACTATATGCAATAAAACAGCCAATCATCAAGGGTATTCTAACTAAATAATCAAGAGATAACCCTTCTTAGGTGAGTTGTAAATATGGAAATATGCTGTAACATAAAATATTTAGGAAGTAGTCAGGAAATAATCAGATACCTAACCTTATGGCATTTATATCTGTGCTACAAGCCTATGTTTAATTTAAGACATTAAAAGTATTATGCAGCAGAATACTGAATATAACTCATTACACAACTATACAATGCTAGATATACCTTAGGAACAAATAGAATAGTTAGTCAAAAGTCAAATATTTTTACATGAAGAAATCCTTTGGTATTCAAAGGAATACATGAAAAATGAAGACCATCAGTTTGATAAACACTTATTTTTTAACACCACCAAACATTTTCAATTCAGTTGGCTCAGAAATACTGCCATAGCAATGCAGAAGTAGATTCTTTAAAATTTCAATGTTTAAAAGTTGATAAACTGAAATAGACAAAATGCTTATTAATAAAGAGCAAGAGAATGATAGTCATAAAAGCACTTATCTAAAAGATACTCTTGCTGGCTAGAATGCCTTAAATGACACCAAGATTTTTCTAATCATGAGGTTTATTCATATCTTAACATTATTTATGAAAATGATTAAGACAAAGGAAATATGACTGCAATACTCAAAGAAGACTTCTCTAAGTATTAACTTTTTCCCAATAAAAGCAAAAAAAAAAAGTTTGTAATCACAAATCCATACATACACACACACATACACACAACCCTTGTTAATAATGAAGTTTTGAACTGTGCTTACTTTCTTTCTGTACTGCAAGGAATTGAGAAATTTTTCTAGAACTTCTGGCATTAATGTTCAAATACTTCATTCCTGACATAAAAAGTCACATAGCTCAACTGATACACAATCAGAAATTCTTAGTTCGGAATGCACCCAATTCAATTCCTTCTTTAGAATAGTTCTGATCACAATACTCTTTTTGCATAAAAAGAGTTTCTCATTGCCTAATGAATTAAATGCATACTCCTTAGTTTAGACATTCCAAACTCTTCACCATCTTTTCACAATTATATCCTGCTATAGTAAGCCAGTCCACTCTATGCTGTGGCTATCACCGCTCCCTAACATCTGTCCTTTCCAGCAGTTCTCATTACTAGAACGGTTGTTCAGTTTTATCTTAACTTCCTAAAACTCTACTTAGCCTTCAAAGATGGCTCAAAGTCATCAGTATTCAACCATTTCTCAACTCTGCAACTCACTTTCCATTATTTCATATTTACTTTTTTTATGACAAGTGCTCCCTATTAACTTCATGTCACACATTTTTGTCCATAACAGTTTCCAGTATGGTAGGAGAGCTAAGGCGCCTTTCTACTTTTACATACTTCCTAGTACCTTGTACACACAGTGAGTACTCATAAGTTTGACAAATAAAATTAAGGATTCATTAAATGGATTTGTATGTAGCATGGCTGGGTTTTGCTCTTGATTGGCTTTTATTCTTGACATTGGGATCATTAAGGTCCAAAAAAGAATTTGACTGATTTTCAAAATCTGTTTCAGAAAACACTGCTCCATTGACTTTATTAAAGCTTCACTATATTACATAAAGATGGCCTCACTTTTAGGCTTGGGTTTGACTGTAAATCCTCATTTTAAGATGGTGAACAAATTAAAAGCTAAATTCTCTCTTGAGGTGGTTACTGATGCCCTCCTAAATTACAGAAGGGCTGCTTAGTGGAACTTGCTTTTTTTTTTTTTTTTACCCTTTCTTCATCAAAAGTACTTGCTAGAATTGCTACATCAAAACACAATTGATCAAAACTAGAAATACACTATTTGAAAATTAGGGGTAAAGGGTAAACTGACAGAAGAGATTTGGATACTAAGCTAGATTTTTCTTCTTTTATCTAATCTCATTTGAAAAGCTAAAATCCAAGTATTGCTTTTACCACAAATTAGAAAGTAAAAATAGCAAATAAATAATAAAGAGAATCCCACAGACAAAGCATAACTAAAAAGTCAAACTAAAGCGGGGAGAGAATCTTATAGGTACAAGTGACAAGATAGCATGAAAATAGATGCATATCTTCCAAACCCTCTAGAAAGTAAAAGCTATCTCAGAAACAGGCTAAAGATAATCAACTTTGGAGATCACTCAAAGTCCAATGAATTTGTTTTTCTAAGACATTCATATACTATTAAACTTTCTAGACACATAAAAATGCAACATCAGCTACTATGCAAACCAGTACTTTGCATGCTTTACCAAAGTGCAAAGGCTTAAGAAATCACTTCAAATATTAATTGAATACCTAAACTTACTGCCAGGCACCATGCTAAGCACTAAATATCTGAAAAGTAGTAGAAGTCACATAATTTTTAGAAGCATATGTATATGCCATTTTCAAATTTTTCTGGTTGCATGTGGAATAAATCTATTAAATTTTAAAGGCCCACAAAACACCATTTTTTAAAAGGGGGGATGTGGGAGATTGAGCTGAATCACTGTAATTTTTAAAAACCAAGGCAAACACACTAAAGGAGCTAGAAAAACCCTTTCAACTATTGTTGAAATGGGTGGTGCTAGGAATCAAGGAACCTTAATTTTAGTTCATGTTTTGATACTAACAAATTGTATGTAACTGGGAAAGCTAAAGAACTTTTAGTCTCTCATTTGTCAAAAAGACACTATCCACCTGCCCTGTCTACCTCACAACACTGTTAAGAGCATGAAATGAGACAGTACATATTTTCAAAAGGCCTTTTCACAAATGTGAGGAACTATCATCGGTTAGAAAATTCAGTTAATTTTAAAAGCAGGTTACAAACTGCTTCAAAGTATGTTTCAGTAAACAAATATTCAGAAGGTAACACTGTTAGCCCATTAATTTAAAATAGCCCATACAAGCCACTGATGGTTAAGACTGACATAAACAATTTGAAACTGGTTATAAAAACCTACTATATTGCAGTATGTATTTAAGTTAGCCAACAAAAACTTTACATTAAATGAAAGTTCTATAGATATCAAAATTGAAATGGAATATAAATTAAGTTTTCCAAAACTAACCTAAATAGGAACATCATTTTAAATAATAATTCCATGTAATAAAAAATGGCAATATATAATTCCAACCTGATATCAACATTTTTGTAACTCCTACTAGGTATGGAGAACTCTGTTAGTATTGTGACGTTATGGCTAACATCAAAAAAACAAAAATACGTTGGACGTTTAGAATTTTCAAAAATAATGTCATTAAGTTGATGTTGTGTCTAATGTGTTATTTTGACTTGTTCTTCAATAGCATATTACAGAATAATCCCAATATCTACTTCAAATAAAACATTCATTCAAATCAGAAAAAAAAAAAAAAAAACTAACTAAATGGAAGTCCTCCTGGGATAGCTGAGACTTTTGATTAATACAGTATATTCTAAAAAACAATGCTACAACTTTAGGACACAGGTACACTGGCTAATATAAACTTAAAAATTAGTGCTTATTTCCCCAATATCCACAGACATTTCATTATAAATCTATACATCTAAAAGCAGTTAGTAATGTCAACTGGCTCTGTTTCAAAATTTCATTTGGTCCACCAGTAAAGAAATCAAGCTTAGCTGATTTCTATTTTAATCATGGTAAGCAATATTTATGCTGAAAAATAGGCTTTATTCTGCTAAGCAGATTCATTTGCTTGTAGCTTGTAAGAGGAGGCAAAGTAGAAAATCAAAGAAGGATACACGTTTTATAACAAAGACAAAACAACATGAACAATGGACAATTCAAGTATACTGAAATAAACTCTGTAATAAGATACATAAACTGCACACTATTTTTAGTAGCAGAATACTCAAGAAAGTAGAATAGGTAAGAATCAATACTGACATGTAAATGCAACCACCGAGTATTCCCCTCCAGGGGAATGATTCTTTCACATTAACTGTATCTCCTGATATTGTGCTACAACTACCAAAAAGGTACCTCAGCAGAGGATATATAAAGAATTTTTATAGATTGAGATGAGTTCCATTTTTAAAACAGATATGTGAATGCATCAAACTTATTTTTTGGTATTTTGGGTTGTCTAAACAGTCAGACAGCCTGGCAGATTTATTTTGAAAAATTAAATAAACCCAAAACAATCCAATAACCTCTTCCCTGAATGTTAAACTTATTTCCAGATTTTGAAGCATAAAAGGAGGATGTATAACACAGCAAGCAAGGAGAGATGATAGAAATGTTGCTACATTACACACATTTTATAACAATCTCATTAAAAGGGATCATTGTCGTCTGTTGTTTCAGTTTTAACATTTAATATTTTTGAAGGTTATTCAATGTAAGCAGAGTACTTTATCCCACTGATTTCAGCTTACTGAATGTGCTAGATGTGAGGACATCTACTAAATAAAATAAGTAAAGAACATTTGGTTTACTTAGGCATGATGAGTTTAAAAGACTCAAACCTTTGCTGAAGATTCCTTGAGTTCGATGAGACTGTCCTGTAGAAAATGAATGGAGATGACAGGTGAGCTGGCATAGTTCTCAGAACCCAGAGGAACTTTGGGAAGTATGGCTGTAACCTGGAAATAAACCAGCTACTTCTTGTGAGGATAAATTTCATGATGTCATTATCAATATGAATATCAACAATAAAAAAAAATGTAATGGAATTGTAATGTTAAAAACTAAATTAAATGTACTCAATGTAAGAAATAAAAATCTTTCTCTGCTCAGAATTTAAAAATAAATGTCAATGCCACATTTTTCATATCTCTCTACTTAAGCTATATGTAACGTAAGAGGTTTAAGAAAGCAAAACAGTTTTTTCTCCACAAAAAATTTAAAATACTGGAAGTCACTGTGGAAGAACAACATTGCCTTATACTTTTCATAGTTTTTCTTTAATTGGGAGGATTCACATTTTACTTTACTTGTAACTCTAATATAAATATATATATTTTAAATCCTAGCTGGAAAATTCAGTGGCATTGTATTAACAAGAAAACAAAATATATAAGAGTAATCACTTCTTTTTTTTTTTTTTTTTGCAAAGTGCCTATCATGGTGAATCTCAAATCTCCCCCACACAAAGAAATCATTAAAAAAAAAAAAAAGAAAAAGAAATCAACTACGATATTCCACCACAGTGCTCTTGATGAAGAATTAATAACTTACAGTTTTTTAAAAGTTCAACGTACTGCAAATTCAAAGATTCCATGAAATTAGATGACTTTAGAATTAAAATTAAATATGGAGCAAGGAATGGCTACCCTGAGTCTTCAAGAAGGCTACACCCACGATTTTGTGCTGCAGTTGAATGCCTGGGGTTTCTCTTTGCTGGGTGGTAGGATTGGATGCCACATCTGCTTTTATCGTAACGCAAGGTTCAACTTGTTGGGAACCCATTGGGTATAAACAAACCTCCAAGGGAAGATAAACAGAAGCTGCATGCTCACTGAATATACACAACTACAGGAGAACTGATCACCAAGGAGACTTTAAAATGGAACTCCTTTCAAGACTCCTTCTTAGAAGGCACACATCGGTATGATGCTCATCAAGAAGCTTGAATTCAGAGGTAACTTGTTTATCCTGTATCATCCAGGAAGTCTTCAGTGCTATATATTCTTCAATATGCTGAAAAATAGGCTTCATTCTGCTGAAAAGATTCGTTTGCTTGTAGCTACCATTGCACTCCAAAAAAGACTGCTTAAAGCAGTTGAGGCACTTCTGGGTAAAATTTCTCTTGCACTTTGAAACACTACAAAATTAGTGCTAAGTCCTTGAAGTTTTAACATTTTTATAATAAAAATACTCAATAGAAAAAAAATCAGTCCACCAATATAGAAAAATTCATTTTCTAATGCAATATAAAACCTCCAGTGGCTCCAGTGAATGCTTGGCATAAGACTTGAAGGAAGTCAGGACACTGGTATTCCAAACAGGTGAGCCTAACATGGACGCTGCCTTCCTCAGGCTATACTAACCTTTACTGTGGAGGAATGTGATGGAGAAGGGTGGGTATCAATTTTGCGGCGTTTTTGTTCTGTTAAGACAAAAAGAAATAGTCAGAATAAGGTATATTTCTAGTTTTCCAAACACTTTAAAAAAAAAAAAAAAAAAATTTGCATGGCAATCAAGTTCCCCTAGCAAAATCCCTATATAACCTGCCAAAACAAGGAGACAATAACCAACTATACATTAAAATAACAAAAGGTAAGAACATATAAAGAAAGGTAAACTTGCCCCTTTCAGGCTCTGGAATATCTGATCGGGGAACCGGTGATTTCAAGGACCCAGAAACTGGCGTTTTTTCTCCTCCTTTAACATTTTCCTTTGATTTCATTTCCTTTGCTATATCTCTTTCTCTGGATGGCTCCTTCTCTCTTTCCCTTTCTTGAGTTGATTTTGATTCTGCGTTGGGGACAGTGGTCTTAAATTTCTCATCTTTAGCTTTTTCTTCCTTCTTGAATTTTTCTTTCTCTTTGTCAGACTTTGGCGTTCTTTCCTTGGTCTCTCTTGCTTTTTCATCTTTATTTGGCCGCTCTTCCTTTGGTTTTTCTTTACCATCTTTACCAAGTACCCTGGCCTCTGGAGTAGTAGCTGGAGTCTTTTCTTTTTTCTCTTTTTCTTTCTCTTTCCCTTTTTCTTTGTCATTTTCTTTAACAGCTTTGTTGCTTTAGAACAAAAACATGGGATTTTAACACAAATAATCATAAAATGTATCCCTTGTCTGATATATGATAAAATATATCATAAAGGGTTTCTGACTAACTTCAAAAATATTAGAACTAAGGGCGAGTCCTTCAAAAACTAAAGGACAACTTTAAGACAAGTAAAAAGGAAGAAGTAATGGTCGGGTGCAGTGGCTCATGCCTGTAATCCCAGCACTTTGAGAGGCTGAGGAGGGTGGATCACTTGAAGTCAGGAGTTCTAGACCAGCCTGGCCAACATGGTGAAACTCCATCTCTACTAAAAATACAAAAAACTTAGCTGGGCATGGTGGTGGGCACCTGTAATCCCAGCTACTCTGGAGGCTGAGGCAAGAGAATCACTTGAACCTGGGAGGCGGAGGTTGCAGTGAGCCAAGATCACACCACTGCACTCCAGCCTGGGTGACAAAGCAAGACTCCATCTCAAAAAAAAAAAAGGAAGTATTTCTTTATCCAGTAAATCATAAACAAATTCATGAATTGCAGATTTAAAAGAATTATTAGCTGGGTGCGGTGGCCCACACCTATAATCCAGCACTTTGGGAGGTCAAGGCAGGCAGATCACATGAGGTCAGGAGTTTGAGACCAGTCTGATCAACATGGCAAAACCCCGTCTCTACTAAAAATGCACAAAAAATTAGCCAGGTGTGGTGACACACGCTTGTAATCCTAGCTATTAGGGAAGCTGAGGCACAAGAATCGCTTCAACCCAGGAGGCAGAGGTTGCAGTGAGACGAGATCACGCCACTACACTCCAGCCTGGGTGATGGAAAGAGACTCTGTCTCAAAAAAATAAAAAAATAATTATTAAAATCATCTCAGGTTCTTTTTTGGCATACATGTATAACCTATGAGAATAAACGGTAAAAACCAAAAATATATCCCACAAACCAACCAAGGGAACTACTATCAGGAAATGGATTACTTAGCTGGATGGATCACTACTTAAATTAGTGTAGGCTTTTCTTATGTCTGTCCTTACTCAGATTGTTCACAGCAATCACTCTAACCTAAACTATTTTTTTTAACTTCATACCTACATTCCCCTGAGTATCCCAGCAGGCGAAACAAAGTTGTTATACAAGCATAATTCTACAAAACATAATTAGGATGTAAAGCATATCAGCAAAATAGAGTACATAAAAAATTTCAAAGTCCAACATAAATGACTTTTCACATTACTCAACAACCACTCCCCTTCTACTCATGAGGATTCATATAAGAAATTAGAACTATGAGGGCCAGGTGGAATGGCTCATGCCTCTAATCCCGGCAGTGTGGAAAGCCAAGGCTGGTGGATCGCTTGAGGCCAGAAGTTCGAGACCAGCCTGGGCAACACTGCAAGACCCCATTTCAAAAAAAATACATAAATATCATTTTTAAAAAGAATTTAGAATTATGACACATGGCACAGTGTTCCTACCTGTTAGAGCCACTATTTCCATTGCTTGAATTCCCTTTAGGTGTGGTGCTAGAAGCTTTATTAACAGCTTTCACACCACACTGAGATCTCTCCCTTGATTTATCTGAAATAGAAGTAAGGTTTTATTTAACAAGCCCCTAAATGTAAATAAGCTACAATTTCACAGCAAAATGATCAGAGAATAATTAGAAAGAAACAGCAGGCTGATTACTTCTTAACATTTATATACTCCTATCTAGGGAATAAAAAGTAATACTAAGCCAGCATTGTACTAATTCTGTGATATTAAACATTTTACTTTGTTGAAATAAAATATATTACTTATAAGTTTCTACAAATAAGCATACCAGTCTCCTCAGTACTGCTTTCATCCGATTTAGATGCACTTCCTATTGATGATGAAGAAGGCCCACCACCAGGCCCATTTTGCACACTGGCAACTGCATTCCTCGGAGGGGGGTCTTTGTGATGAAACTCATTTTCAGGTATCATGTATGACTTTCTACTTTTCAACTGCCCAGAGTAGCTGAAAGTCGCACAAAGTGTTTAAATATACAAACACAAATCAAAAAACATAAACATGAGGTTTTTAAGAATTAGCAAGTTATTCATTCTACTATGTAGTTCTAGAGAATTAAAAAAATACCAATTTTTAATAAGTTCTTGAAGGTTTTTATAGAATGCCCAACTTTCTTAAAAATTACAATTTCACTATAAACTAATCCTTAAACTAAGATGGCTTTTTTCTTTTACTCTTGAAGATCTGTTAACTATGATGATAAAATTATATTTCCTCCCAATCAAGAAATATTATATATGACTTTTGAAACTATCATCCAGTATAGACCGGAAGTTGATAATCAGAAGTGGTAACTCTCACCAGCCTGTGGGAACATGATCGCATAATCTCCCATAATCTCCTGAAGGCAGAAGATAAACTTCAACACTGTAAAACATTTTAAAGTCTTCAGAATCCTTCTGTCATCTAGTCTTGTAAATCACATTAAAATATAATTTTGTTACCCCATAGCCAATGCATATAGATCTGGCCTCTTCTCTTTTTCTTCTTGGCAGATTTTGTGTACTCTTCTTTCCAAAGCTTGACCCAGATTCAAAACTTTTGGGTACCAAGGAAGTATTTTTGTTAGCACAATCAAGATATTCCTGATGTGAGTATATTCGCCTGTTTCAAGGCAATGTACCGATGCCTACAACAAACATTTTCAGATCCATTATTATAAAAGTACAAGTATAAAGAGAAAAATCTGCCTTTGAAAAACCCAATTTTTTTTTTTTACCTTGGTTAGTTTGTAATGCCATTTATGTACAACATGTCGAAAATTTTCATAGTCTAATTGATCAGCCTTATTTCCACCATCAAAACCAGTTGCCCGTAATATGGTAAGGAATCCTGGATAGTTTCCACATTCCTAAGGAAACAATGTTTGTCACTTTTAAGGAAAAATTATGATCCACAAAATCGCAGAAACTGAAACTTAAGTAGACTAGATCAATGTTTCCATATAAAACCATCATGCGTATTTTGATAAGTAGTCACAAAAAGTTCAACTTATACAAAGATAATAATTTGGAACGTCAGTTTGAGAGAGAATAAAAAACTATACAGAACTTTTTAATAATGAATTAATTGTGCTTATAAACACGGTTTTACAACTGAATCTTAAACTCAGCTTCTCTTTTAAAACTCAACAATCTAGACATTAATGGATGTGGTCATTATATACACGGGTAAAATATAAGGGTTTTTATTAATCATACCTTTTCATATGTGGCTCTATCACTATGCCACCTGGTCACAGTCTCTAACATGCAGCACAGAAACCTTCCATATCGACTGGCTTCATTTTCAGTACAGCTTGCAACTGTGTAAATTATGTCAGAGAAAACCTACAGGAAAAAAATGTTTAAAAAATATAAACAAATCAAGGTCAAAATCATTTAAAAATATTAGAAGATTCTCTTATAGCAAGTCATAATAAACAGGTAAGCTTAGTCGAAATGTATATTCCCTTTATATAATGACACTGCAGAGACCTTTGGAGATTTTGGCTTTTGTGGGGAAATAGTGAATTCATAAAACAACCACCCAAAACAAGAACTTTTATATAGAAAGCTGATTTACAGTGACAGGGGAAAAAAAAAAAAAAAAAAAACTGTCATTATTATTACATAATAGTTTTTTTTATTACATAATAGTTTCTTAACCACTTAGCCATACATATTACTGGGTTTATGGGGAGAGTAAACAGAGGAGATGCTAATAGAAATTAAAAATAGGCAGCTGACATGCTGGAACAAACATTATGTTTTGTGGGAGTTTTTTTGTTTGTTTGTTTTTGAGATAGAGTCTCACTCTGTCACCCAGGCTGGAGTGCCATGGTGCGATCTCGGCTCACTGCAAGCTCTGTCTCCCGGGTTCACGCCATTCTCCTGCCTCAGCCTCCCGAGTAGCTGGGACAACAGGCACCCGCCACCACGCCTGGCTATTTTTTTTGTATTTTTTTAGTACAGACGGGGTTTCACCGTGTTAGCCAGGATGGTCTCAATCTCCCGACCTCGTGATCCACCCGCCTCGGACTCCCAAAGTACTAGGATTACAGGCATGAGCCACCGTGCCCGGCCACATTATGTTTTTAAACCAAAAAATGTACTAATAAGAAAAAAGCTAAATGCAAAATGTAAATACGACCATACTAAAAAGTTTCCCTGCTTTTATATGTGTGTGAAGGTGTAAACTTTTGTCTTTTTTCTTTTCTTTTTTTTTTTTTTGAGAAGTGAAGGTTAAGAATGGAGAAGAGAGTTCTACCTATTATGATACAACATGTAAACTCAAATAGTTAATAGTTTAACCTTGAGTGACTATTACATATCAGGTGCTTTTTATGTGTAGTGATTCATTTAATCCTCACAACAATCTTATGAAGCAGGTACTTATGCTTTACAGATAAGAAAACAGGCACAGAGAGGTTAAATAACTTGCCAAAGATCATACAGCTAGAAAATAGTAGATCTAGGATTCAAGTTCAGACACTTGGTTCCTGAGTTCATGCTTTTTAAACAAACACACAATAATACCTCTATAAATTATAATGTTAGCTATCTTTGTGTGAGAATTTTTTAAAGGTTGCAATAAAAACTTACTCGATCATAGCAAAGAAGTGTGGAAAAATTTGGAGTTTTCTGTTGATGTACCAATTCAACAAAACGAGCACAGTAAACGGCATCAATTGCTGAAAAAATACATCGAGGAAATATACACAGCTGTAGAAATTTTGTGATGGTCTCATTTTTGGTAGATTCTAAAAATAAAGGAAGAATATATTAAGTGGTAAACTTCTTCCTCAAGTGCCTCAAAGCCACTAAACATGACAACATATTACCTTTAGTGTAGAGAATACTATAAGACCACAAACTATTTATAGTTTGTAACCAAATGTCATGCCTGGTCATGATTATCATTTTTACTATGTGGACTTTTTTTCTATCTATGATTTCTCCAGAAATATGTTTTATACAGAAAAGTTGAATGACAAGCTGCCAATATGTAGTTAAAAGTTAATTAACTTCACCAGCAAACTATATCAGTTCCTCTAGTGAACGTGAAGTTGATTCTGCATTAACGAATAACCAAAGAATGGGATAGAGAACACTGAGTTGAAATACAAACATAATACACTGTAACACCTGTAAAGTTATAATGTTTTGTTTTCTGCAATTCACCAGCATCGGGAATGTAACAATTCCAACAACTTACTTGCTAAAAGCCAGTTGTCCTTTTCCAGTTTCAATCTCTGTAGAACTCTCTGTACATGTTCCATCTGTTTCTTTTCTTCTTCAAGAAGCTTGTCCTGAAGGGCAGTACAGCGCTCCTTCTCTTTTTTCTTTTTATTTGGGGGCTACAAAGAATAAATCAGATACTTTTCTAAATATATGCACATTACCTTTCTTCTTTTAATTGAAAAGTTTAAAGAGATAAAGGCTGACAGTTTATAACTACTTTAACATGAATATAGGTCCACCTGAATGTGCTTTTATCTTCATTCAACACACTCATAACACTGTCATGGCATCTTCACACACCATCAAAACAGGCTACATTTGCAACACTGATACTATCAGTCTCAGGCATGGTGTCATCTTTGACTCTTCCTTCTCCTTTATACCAAGACTGGTTTACAAGCCTTGCACACTGCCACTACCTCCATCAGTCTATGCTCTCACAATAGACTGCCTAAAAAGCCACCTAGCTGGTCTTTAGCCTAATGCTAGTCCCTTCCCCTATCAAAAGCATCTTTCACACTGCTGTCATGAGTAATCTGTTTCAAGTACCATTTTTTACATTACTCTCCTGCTCAGGAATCTAAAATAGCCCTCAATTTTACCAAGTCTATTTTTCTCCCTGACTTCCAATGCCCTACATAATCTGGCCCCATCATATTCATATGTATCACTAAGTACATTCACTATGTGAAAGTGAATCAGTAAACGTGATCTCCCTAAACCTCAATGTACTTCCTGTCTTTGCTGGAACCCTATGGTGACCTCCCTATCTGCTTCCATATTTCCAAACCTAATCTACCTTCAAGGCCGGTCCATTTCAAGACTCAGCTTTTCAACAGTCTTCTCCTAAAGCACTCACTTCTTGAGAACGACTGATCTTGCTATTAGAGTCAAACGAATCACTTTAAGTTACCAGCATAGTCATCAGTAGAAAAGGACACTCAAATAATTTTTGATTAATCATAATCTCCACCTAGTCACCAACCTCCTGGCCCTCCACTCAGAATAACTATTAAACCCCATTTAAGAAAATATTATATAGCAACAAGATCACTGTTTTAAGGAACCAGAGCTAAAATAATTTCAAAATATAGGTGAGACCATAAAGTTATTGCACTTGAACTACTAGAACAAAAACCTACCATTTCCTGATTGTCATCAATTGCTTTCATCTGGACTTTAAGTTTATTGACTTCTCGTTCATAGCTGGTGTGTGGAACTGCAAGGTCATACATTGTCAATGACCAGAATGTGGCATAGAATTGAGGGCTGATGTCATCCCAGACTTTGGAAACATGTAAGGAGACCACTGCTTCATGGACAGGCGCCATCACCATCTCACATGATGTAATGTACTTATGAACTTTATGTTGCTGTTTACTTCCCTTTTCTGATTTTTTAAGTTCATCATACTTTGACTGTAGATAAAAAGTAAAAATACATACATACATACATACACACACAACATAATTTATAGCTTTGACTTTCATGGTATAAAAATCTATATTCCCTTCTAAAGAATCAAAAGATGACCAATCTCAAAACTGTTATAGAAATTCTAGTTTCTTACCAACAACATTTATTTTAAGATAAATCATCTCTGGAAGATATTCCAATCTTTAGTACTGTGTGCCAACTAGGAGATAAGGGCTCTTATCTAATCTGACCTGTTGAGTAAAGTGAACAGGGTATATGCATGTCCCCCTCTTCCATTCCTCCACCCTACTCCCTCTTGCTGCTATATCAGGGATTGAACATGTAGGGTTTCCAGTCCTGCTTTTGAGATATTCAAGGGAACAAATAGAAGGTCTTAACATGAGAAAAGAGGAAGAATGGAACTAATAACAGTCAACTAGGACAGAACGTAGTATCACTACATGTAGACCCTACCAACTGTTAAAATTCGTCAATTAAAAAGCTGGATCAAGAGATTGAGGAGGGCAGATCCCTTGAGGTCAGGAGTTCAAGACCAGCCCGGCCAGCATGGCAAAACCCCATCTCTACGAAAAATTAGCCAGGTGTGGTGGCACATGCCTGTAATCCCAGCTACTTCGGAGGCTGAGGTGAGAGGATCACTTGAACCCCAGAGGCGGAAGTTGCAATGAGCTGAGATCATGCCCCTGCACTCCAGACTGGGTAACAGAAGGAGACTGTCTCAAAAAAGAAAAAGAAAAAAAAAAAAAAGCTGGATCAACATTAAGAAAAGTTACGAGAAATTTGTTTTAAGACTGCTAAGTAGGGTGACCAATTGTCAGGGTTTTCTGGGGATTTGGGGGTTTCTGGGGATTTAAGACTTCAGTGCCAAAACTGGGAACATCTCAGGCAAACCGGAACCAACTGGTTACTCTATTGCTAAGCCAAATAAATTTTTCTGTGAAAAGCTTTGGTATATTGAAGTTTAAAGCATGTGAGAACTGATGCTGCAGCTTCTTTTGCTTAACTGATTTAACCTAATTTGGGGGAAAAGTCAGAAGAATGCCATATTCTTAATTTTGTGAGGAAAAAAAATTGTTAGTACAATGGGAGGGGCTGTAGAGATATGTGTATGCCAAATATATTATACATATATATACACACACAAAATATATATATATACATATTCTCTATATATGAAGATAACATATATGAAAATAACATACATATATATGAACATATATATATATATATATATGAGAGAAGATAACACAGAGTTGCTGCTATTGTTTCACATCCTTCAGTCTCTTTAGGACGAATGAGCTCTCATGCAGAAAATTTTGTTTGGGTTAGGTATCACCCTTAATACGAACCTAAAGGATGTCCTAAAACTAGTTACTTCTTTATGTTAGAAAATGACTTAAATCATTCTATTTGTGCTAAACACATAACCCAAAATAAGATGATCAAAGGTTCTGCTTCCAGTTCTACACTGTGATAGGCAAAAGAGTCTCAGCTCCTTACAGCTCAGTTACCTGCCTTCCTTCCTGACTGCTCAATTTTACAACTGTTCTAGAATTTTACAATTATTCTAGAAGTGGGAAGATTTACGCTCCGTTACTCCCACTTTAGAGAGCATGCTGACAACCACTGAGACCACATAAGTGACAAAGTTACAAAGAACATTAGTTATGAAAAAGGAGTCCCAATTGCATCAGAAACCTGAGGGAATAGCAGTTGGGAAAACAGAGAATTTTTTTTAATTTAGAGGACAGGTCTTATTGAAGGTAACTAATATGAATCTAGATGAGCAGAATGACTTCTAAGGTTCTAACAAAACGGGATAAAATAGGGCTGATGCTATCTGCATAAAAGACAGCCTAGCTACCTGTTCTGGGCAAGATCTAGGATGTGAACCAGGTAAAAGCCTATCTTTCAGAACTGTGTCTCAAGGTGGACCACAACCTCAACAGTTAAAACTAAAAATTAGTTTATCGGTATGAGAGGGTTACATGATAGCTCCAGTCTCCCTCCTCTGGGTCTGAATCTGTGATTTCTATTGTTAGGAACCCCATAGTCACTATCTAGTTAGAAAAATAGGCTTGGTCAGAAAAGAAGGCTATACTTCATATTTACCTAGGATGAATATGTCCTTGTCTAAAGTCAGTTTAACTCCCACTTCACGTTCACACCTTCAGTCAAATGAAGAGACATAACAGTTCTGCATTTCAAATCGCCTGGGGAGCCAGACTTATGGAATAGAACTGATATCTACAATTATTGCTGTACTTCTCACTATTGTTCAAAAATCTCATCTCAAGAATCTGAGCAGGCCAGGCACAGTGGCTCATGCCTGTAATGCCAGCACTTTGGGAGGCCAAGGCAGGCGGATCACCTGAGGTCAGGAGTTTGAGACCAGCCTGGCCAACATGGCAAAACCCCATCTCTTCTAAAAATACAAAAATTAGCTGGGTGTGATGGTGGGCACCTGTAATCCCAGCTACTTGGGAGCTTGGGATAGGAGTTGAGCCCAAGAAGTGAAAGTTGCAGTGAGCTGAGATTACACCACTGCACTCCAGCCTGGGAGACAGAGCGAGACTCCGTCTCCAAAAAAAAAAAAAAAAAAATCTGAGCAGCGTTTGGCTGAATTATCTCCAAGAGAGCCTGCTGATAGTCAATTTATAGAGGGGACATAGCAGTCACCTCTTCAACAGCGGTTTTCACTCAAGAAGCAAAAGCAAGGATCCCAGGGCAGCTAGGATGCCCATCCAGTGCAACCACAAGGTTGCTGGGAAACCCCTTTTCCAGAGAGTGGCATGTTGCCTACAGATACAAGATTTATATCTGACTTGGCTAGAATGACCTGCTCCATTTTCTGACCTGGCAAAGTTCAGCCAACCTCAGACAATCAGGTGTTCCTGTTTGCTAGGATTCCATATTGCTGATTAGTGTGTTCACTTAGCACAGGGCAGGTCAGAATTCCTAAGATGAAGCAACTCTCCCACCTCTGTCTGTCAAGAAATCGGGTACTCTCTTGCACAGCTGAGAATGATCTACCATGGGGTGTGACAACAGTAAGACAATACACAAAGACAGCATACAATTCTCTGGATTGAGAGGATCTAAAGGGGAAGAAGCTAGCCTAACACCACTCCCTTATTGTCTTTTCCCCTTCAGAGTGTATACATAACACAGGAATTTCTGCATAGTGCTAACAAAGTGATAATTAAATCAAGTAACAGTTAGGAAAGAAGTGGGAGACTGTAGCAGTTGATATGTAAACACTAACAGCAGATGTTTGATTAAATGATTAGACTCCAAATTTCTCATCACCTTTTTTGTATACCTCTACCACACAGCTCTGTACCCCTATTGGAAACAAAGAAGGAATCCTAGTTTAAGGGCCAAAACCTTCCCCTAAAATCTGTAGTGAAATGTACTTACAGATAAAATAGTTAAGAAATAATTTGGATCGTTCTTGAGCGGCAGAAAAGACACTTGTACTTACCGAAATATGATGCGCATACATTGGCCTAGACAGGAAAAATGCTGCATCATGGGGTGTATGAAATTCATTACAGAGTACATCAATTGAAGGCACTCGCTTTATATAATCTTCTGTGCTCAGATTAGATGCTAAAAACCCACCAAACTGCACCAGGGTATCATGACACTAAATTTAAAAAATAAGACAAAATCAACATATTTTCCAAAGTGATTAAGAAGTCATTTCAGGAATATTTTAACAATTAAGAATCCAAATGTTATAACTTAAAAGGACTTTAGAGACCATCTACAAGTATAATCACATGACCATATTACGAAAAAAGATGCCAAGGCCCTGACAGGTTGACTAATCCCAGGCTTTACTAGCCAACTAGGTCTCTTAAATGTCAAGCTGTTGTTCATCACTTTTAGTGGAATATATTTACCTAAATCAAATAAGATAATAACCATAGACAAACAGAAGTCAATTCCTTTGCCCTTAAAAGAAGAAAACTTTATTTACAGAATATATTTATAAATATTAAGTACCAAAACTTAAGATCAGCCCACAAAATGTGTTTAACTATCATCAACTACAATGCAAAGAAAAAGAGAGATAGCAACCCAGCCTGGGCAACATGGCAGAGCTCCGACTCTACAAAAAAAATCCAAAAATTAACCAGGCATGGTGGTGCATGCCTATAGTCCCCAGCTACTTGGGAGACTCAGGTAGACTGATCACTTGAGCCAGGGAGGTAGAGGCTACAGTGAGCTGAGATCATGCACTGCACTCTAGCCTGGGTAACAGAGTGAGGCCTTGTCTTAAAAAAAAAAAAGGAAAAGAGAGCGAGCATGCATGAGGGAGCAAGCAAGCAAGCATCTATTCTGTTATGACTGAGATTTCCAGAGATCAGGAAAGATATAGATGCAAACAACTTGAAGTTGCAGGAATTTAATGATGTAATATTTAATTAATTGACAGCCTTACACATAACATATCTTGGAGCTATCTCTTAAATATCATAATTTACATAGAAATAGGCCCTATTTCCAGAATGTCTTTCACATTAGATTAGGATGTCTCATATTCACATGCTGTGCAAAAATGACATTTTTCAAATTATAACACATTATCTTCCTTTAACAGGATTAAAAACATGTACATAAACATAAAAGCCACTTTAACTTACCTGGTCATAGAGCTTTCCCACAAGTTTCAAATGTTTCTCTCCACCTTCCTGAAAGATTACCCCATTTCTCTGCTGAGCCATAAGCAGACAGAGAGGAAGGGCAAGATCATGGTCCAATAGAGCATCCTTTAATCTCTGAGAGGATTTTTTAGTGTTTCTGATCTGACCAAAATAACCACCCTGCACGAGAAAAGACACAAATTTACCAGTGTACAGTACATAACCCATGCTAATTTGAAAAAAGGCAGAAAAAAGTTGAGTTAAAATCCTTAATATAAAAAACTCCTACATTCCACATTCCTTCCCTTACACAAATTTATTTCAGTGACTATTACAGACTACAGCCACTGGCTTAAAAGCAAATGTCAACTGAATTTAAATTTTTGCAAATTTTCCATTTTCCACCTTGCAGTCCGTCATAAAGGATTATTCGTTATTCAGTATGGCACAGATTCAACAGAGCAACTAAGAGTTAAGGGAGTGAGGATATCAAAGATCACAGAAGATTTAGTAATTATTTAGTAATTTTATTTATTTATTTATTTATTTATTTATTGAGACAGAGTCTCACTCTCTTGCCCAGGCTGGAGTGCAATGGCGAGATCTTGGCTCACTGCAACCTCCGCCTCCTAAGTTCAAGCAATTCTCCTGCCTCAGCCGCCCAAGTAGCTGGGATTACAGGTGCCCACCACTACGTGTGGCTAATTTTTTGTATTTTTAGTAGAGGTGGGGTTTTGCCATATTGGCCAGGCTGGTCTCAAACTCCTGACCTCAGGTGATCCACCCACCTCTCAAAGTGCTGGGATTATAAGCGTGAGCCACCACGCCCGGCCTTATTTGGTAATTATTTTCCTTATGGATGCATTTCTTATTGTCTTTTTTTTTTCTTTTTTATTATACTTTAAGTTCTAGGGTACATGTGCACAATGTGCAGGTTTGTTACATATGTATACATGTGCCATGTTGGTGTGCTGAACCCATTAACTCGTCATTTACATTAGGTATATCCCCCAATGCTATCCCTCCCCTGTCCCTCCACCCCACAACAGGCCCTGGTGTGTGATGTTCCCCTTCCTGTGTCCAAGTATTCTCATTGTTCAATTCCCACTTATGAGTGAGAACATGCGGTGTTTGGTTTTCTGTTCTTGTGATAGTTTGCTGAGAATGATGGTTTCCAGCTGCATTCACATCCCTGCAAAGGACATGAACTCATCCTTTTTTATGGCTGCATAGTATTCCATGGTGTATATGTGCCACATTTTCTTAATCTAGTCTATCATTGATGGACATTTGGGTTGGTTCCAAGTCTTTGCTATTGTGAATAGTGCCACAATAAACATACGTGTGCATGTGTCTTTACAGCAGCATGATTTATAATCCTTTGGGTATATACCCAGTAATGGGATGGCTGGGTCAAATGGTATTTCTAGTTCTAGATCCTTGAGGAATCGCCACACTGTCTTCCACAATGGTTGAACTAGCTTACAGTCCCACCAATAGTGTAAAAGTGTTCCTATTTCTCCACATCCTCTCCAGCACCTGTTGTTTCCTGACTTTTTAATGATCGCCATTCTAACTGGTGTGAGATGGTATCTCATTGTGGTTTTGATTTGCATTTCTCTGATGGCTAGAAAATTTTTGCAATCTACTCATCTGACAAAGGGCTAATATCCAGAACCTACAAAGAACTCAAACAAATTTACAAGAAAAAAACAAACAACCCCATCAAAAAGTAGGCAAAGGATATGAACAGACACTTCTCAAAAGAAGACATTTATGCAGCCAACAGACACATGAAAAAATGCTCATCATCACTAGCCATCAGAGAAATACTTACTGTCTTTTATACTTTGTTTCAGCTTTTTTAAAAAGTTGAAGTAATTACTGTATCTCAATTTCAAAAGGGGGGTAGGGGTGGTTGTGAAAGGAAGGTATGTATGGCTTTGACATTTGGTTTTATAAACTTACATATTGTTTGGATTCTTTACTATGACCATGCATACATTATGAATTTTAAAAGTTGATGAACAAAAATAGCAATTCTTACCTCAGCTTTTAGCTGCTCTCCACCAGTCATAGCCTCTAGTTGCTCCATTGTCATTTCCTCTGTAATTTCTATTCCTGCCATTTTTTGCACCACTTCTTTCAATATAAGCAGGTCAAAACTATTCAAAAAGAAAAAAGAAACAGTCTATAGTTAGACCTTCAAATATAAAAGTAACAATATATTGTAATTAATATACTGAGAAACCCTAAATTATTTGTATATAAATATGGGGGAAGGGGCGGAAGCAGTTTTTAACTGCATTCCTAGAACTATATTGACAAATACTTGGTGTGTAAGTTCATTTTAACTTTTACTTGGAAATAATTTCAAATTTACAGATTGGATGGAAAAATAAAAACAGTACAAAACTCACCCATATATCCTTTACCTCAACTTCACCTGGTAACATTTTTACTCCTGCTTGATCATTTGCATTTCCTCTCCCTCTCTGGAGCCCCTTTCTACATACATAGTCAGACACTCAATTTTTTAATCATTTGAGGGAAATTTATATACCATGGCCTTTTACCCCTAAAATTTCTAAGACTGCATTTCCTAAGAGAGCTATTCTCTTAAATAACCACAGCACAGTTATCCATTTTAGTACATCAAACACTGATAAAATACTTAAATCTACCATTGATATTTCATTTTATCAGTTGACCCAATAAAGTCCTTCACAGCATTTTTTCTCCTCCAATACAGGATGGCCAAAACATTTTTGATGGTATAGAGCCATTTCTAAATAATCCGTTTACTAAAAAGGGACAAAGATGTAGCATGGTCACATACACTTGGAAGAGAGGCAGGGAAGGAAGGAAAAAAAGAAGTTCTAAGCTGTGATATCCGAGCCAAAGATGACAATTTAGTGGCCAGCCCAGAGCACATTTCAGTAATGTGCCAACAGTTACGCTTTTTAATCGTCAAAGTTTAGGACTACCAATGAAAATAATATCTTACGTCCTCCAAGATCTTCTTTAATTAGTTAATCTAAACAAAGTAAAAACATTCTTTCCTAAAAACTCTAGATGTTTCTCCAAACGTAAAGTCAGACATACCCAAGACACAAGCTAATAGACAAAAGAACCATTTTCTAAGATTCTTATTAAGGGTTTGTTCTCTCAACTTGCCGTGCTTTCCTTAGTTGCTTTTTTTTTTGTTTTTTTTTTTTTTTAAAGAAAGCCCTCATGAAAACTAGTATATAAGTACCAATGAAACAGTTTATTTTTTCTTCAAACTATGTTTTAATTAGATGGTCACAAAAACTGTATTCATAGTACAGAAAGCTGAGTTACAGATTTTAAAAATGATATATGTTATTCCGGCCTATAGATAAAGAAGAATAAAAATATATAGAAATGGCAGAGAGATGAGCATAAGGGATGTGCCAAAAAAAAAACATAAGTTTAAATATTTTTTAAGTTTTCCCTAAGCCAAAATAAGAATCTGTCAATAATTACTTAGGTAATACTTGTTTGGAACACCAAATAGCTTTTAATGTTTTGTTTGTTTGCTTTCTACCAGAAAGCTTCTGAAAACAATTTCAGGTTCTTTGATTCTAGTCAGTCTACTTCTCATGAGGTTTAATATACATACATACTAATTCAAACTCTAAGCACTGATATTGGCCCAAAATAAAATAAACTTCAGTATTTATAAAGCAAAAAGGACATTGTCCAAAAGGTATGGAAGCCTTATGTATCTCTAAAACTCAAATTCAAAAATTATGCTTTAAAGGTATTATATACACCCTCAAAATAAACATGTTCCTACCAGATGTTCAATGTGATACAGGTCAATTACTGCATACTGACCTAGTGCAGTATGTTTTGTTATAGGAAGATACACAATATATCATATTAGGCATTTACTCAAAAGCCCAATAGGCAGTCAAAATAAATGAAAGTATATTTTTAGTGCATTAACATATATAGCCAAATAGTACATTTATTCGTGAAAAAAAGTGTCTATTTATGAATAGACTGAAGAATTTCATGTAAATAAGTGAGCAACTATTCTACTTGAGCCTACAACCAACAAGTAAGTAGTCTTTCAGGATAATAGGAGTCTCAATAACCCCAAACCACCAGAAGTACTCTATTGAATTTCGTTATGTATAATTTGCTATGAATACCTTTTGCCCGCCTTTAGCTGATTGGCAACATACTGAAGAAGACCAGCAAGATCAATTGGATATTTACGAAAAACTGCACCACAGAAACTAGCCAGACCTATATGAAATAAAAAAGGAGTAAAAACAACTCATAAAACAAAATGCACAAGTATCATTTCAACTAAACCTCTAAAATAAAATGAGATAGGAATAATTGTATTGCTGATGCTGTTGAATGGAGTTTCATAATAATAACAATAACCAATATTTATTGAGCATACATATGTCAAGCACTGTACCAAGCACTTTATCATGATTATCTCACTTAATCCTTGCAACTATTATCCTAGGTTGGTATCACCTATTGATGAAGCAAATTCAGAACAGATATGTCATGTAACTTGCTCACGGTCACATAGTACAAAGTAGAGCAGTAAGTCAAATCTTTGCAGCCTGATTCCAGAGTTTGTGAAACTAAGATATAACAAAATCTTGCAGATCACTCAGTAAACTTGAATAAATGACAAAATGCCAGCCCCCGAATGTGAGTCAAGGAAAAAAAAAAATCTCTTTTTATCTAAGAACATGCTACTAGTTGTGGAGGTGCAAGAAAATAAAGTATTACCAGACCTAGAAGCAGACAACAGACCAATTTTAACCAATGGTCCTTATCATACCATGAATAGGGAGGAGACTCCAGCCAATACAAGAGTAGGAGATGCAAGTAAAGTCAAGTACTCTGCAAGCTATTCCACAACTATTTGCTAAGCACCTAAATGATATTGGACAAAACTCAAGTCCTGCCCTCAAGGAGCTGAGTCTAGTGGAAGATACAGAAAAGTAAACAAATAACTATGATGAGCAAAATGCTCCATGGGAATATAAAAGAGGAACGCCCAATTCAGACTTGTGGGTGGGAGCATTAACAGAAAAAGCTTTCCAGAGGAAGTGACCTCTAAGCTGAAATCTAATGAATAAACAGAACACGGAGTGGGCCATGAAGGGTATTCCAAGTCAAGTGAATAATGGGCAAAAGTTCATGGAAAGTACAAGAAGTTCAGTATTAATGGAATCTAGAATATTGGGAAGCAGGGAAAAGATGAGGCTAGAACAGTGCAAAAGGACCTGATTTCAAAAGAACTTACTTGTATGACTTATTAAACATTTCGGACTTTAAAGGACAATGGGGAGCCACTGCAAGATTCCGCTATCAGATACAATAAGTTGAAAGAAAGGGAACTGGCTGCTAGAAACCAAAGGTACAAGAATTAAAAAGAAATATGGTTAGTTTTTTTGGTTAAACTAAGTCAAGTTTTTGTTCTTTTAAGATGACTGGAACCTCAGGATGGAATGGGAAGAAATGAGACTAGCTCCCTTACGATCAACTCCTATAAAATAATGTTAGTTAAAAAGGAGATTTTCAGCTAGGCATGGTGGCTCATGCCTGTAGTCCCAGCACTTTGGGAGGCCAAGGTGGGCAGATCACTTGAGGTCAGGAGTTCGAGACCAGCCTGGCCAACATGGTGAAACCCTGCCTCTAACGAAAATACAAAAATTAGCTGGGCATGGTGGCGCATGCCTGTAATCCCAACTACTAGGGAAGCTGAGGCAGGAGAATTGCTAGAACCTGGGAAGCGGAGGCTGCAGTGAGTCGAGATCACGCCACTGCACTCCAGCCTGGATGACAGAGCGAGACTCCATCTCAAAAAATAAATAAATAAATAAATAAATAAAAAGAAGGAGATTTCATCTCCCCAGTAATGCTTACCCAAATTCTATCACAGTCAATAATGGTCTCTTAAGTTAGGAAAATAAATAAGTACCATATCAACCTCCTTAAGTAGCCAAGGACTCTGTAGAACAAACTCAGTAGCTAGATATTCTCAACAACTCTTAACGAATAGGCTTCTAAAAGTCTCTAAGCGTAGGTAATAAAACACATAACATGGCAGTTACCACAGACAGTATTTTCATTTTCTCAAAAATAAAAATACTTACTCTGAAGCCAGCTTGAGATGGTTGTGTCATCATGTTTCATTCTTTCCTTTTCTGGATTAGCTAAAGCTTCAATGATACAATCTTTCATACATTAAGAAAAAACTTAAGTCATTACATCTCTAATAAAGACCCTTAAAACATAAATATGCCACACCATAGGGGCAAAATTGTTGGTCATTACAAATTATTTTTCTTTTTTTTCCAAGACCAGGGATGTTGCTAAAACTAATTATTGAAAAATACACTCATTGTAGTACCAACATTCCTTCTTTAGCCTCCTTTCCATCTTTCAGCAATCAAGATAGATTCCATCAATATCAAGATGTCTGGTAAGCCAGTTGGGTGCAGTGGCTTATGCCTGTAATCCCAGCACTTTGGGAGGCCAAGGTGGGTGGATCACTTGAGGTCAGGAGTTCAAGATCACCCTGGCCAACCTAGTGAAATCCCATCTCTACCAAAAAACAAGGAAATTAGCCAGGTGTGATAGCACCCGCCTGTAATCCCAGCTACTTGGGAAGCTGAGCCAAGAGACTCACTTGAACCCAGGAGGCGGAGGTTGCAATGAGCCGAAACCATGCCACTGCACTCCAGCCTGGGCGACAGAGCAAAACTCCATCTCGCAAAAAAAAGTCTGGTAAGCCTCATGTCTCCCTTTATACAACACAAAGACACACACACACACACACTCTCTCTCTCTCTCTCTCTCTCTCTCACACACACACACACACACACACACACACACACTACTGACTGACCAAACTTCAGATCAGCCACCTGAATCAACCTCAGATGGTTACCAAACGAAAACAGAATGAAAATAAAACATTTACCATATGATCTATTAAATATGAAATCTACATATTACTTCATTTGAAAGGATACAGGCCAAGACATCATAATTCAATGAAGTGAGGTATTTCAATGAATCTACTACAGGTGTTATTAAGTTATCATACTTTTGTATTTGTGACAAGATCTGGAAAACAGCAACAAATAATAGAAGGCATTAACTGATCAAAGGATTTCTACTGTGCCAACTAAGTAATGGCTACACTTTTTATTTTTCAAAAGAAATAATGCTTATAATTAAAGTGGTTTCCTATATAAATATTTAAATAAAGTGGTTTCTGTATAAATATTTCATATTTGTATAGAAATTACTATTTTATCACTGGCTTAGAGAATATTTTCTTAGGCTACATTTTTCAGTTAGAAAATAATTCCAATTCTATAAAAAAAATGACAGTGGTAATCTGACTGGAATTGCAATGAATCTGTAGATTCCTTTGGGCGGTATGGACATTTTAACTATATTGACTCTTCCAATCCAAGAGCATGGAATGTCTTTCCATTTGCTTTTAGCATCTATGATTTCTTTCATCAGTGTTTTACAGTTCTAATACAGATCTTTCACCTCCTTGGTTAGATATATCTCTTGGCACTTTTTTTGTGACTATTGTAAATGGGATTGTGCTCTTGATTTGGTTTTCAGCTTGAACATTATTGGTGTATAGAAATGCTACTGATTTTTGTATGTTGATTTTGTATCCTGAAACTTTACTATGGGTACACACGGACATAAAGATAGAAAGACACTGGGGACTCTAAAAGTAAGTGGGGGCGGGGGAGGGCTTGTCAAGGTTTGAAAAACTACCTACTGGGTACTATGCTCACAATTTGGGTGAGGAGTTCAATAGAAGCCCAAACCTCAGCATTATGCAATACATCCATGTAATAAACCTGCACATGTACTCCTTGAATCTTAAAAAAATTAATTACAAAAGGAAATAACTCCAGTTGGCCTAAAGCTGAATTTTGGAATGAAAGAGTCTAGTCTCTCTCATGTGTTTTAGAAATCTCTAAATATTGGCCAGGCATGGTGGCTCACGCCTATAATCCTAGCACTTCAGGAGGCCAAGGCTGGTGGATTACCTGAGGTCAGGAGCTCAAGACCAGCCTGGCCAACATGGTGAAACCACATCTCTACTAAAAATACGAAAAATTAGCCAAGTGCAGTGGCGCACGCCTGTAATCCCAGTTACTCGGGAGACAGACAGGAGAATCACTTGAACCCGGGAGGCAGAGGTTGCGGTGAGCCAAGATCGGATCACTGCACTACAACCTGGGTGACAGAGCAAGACTTCATCTCAAAAAAAATAAATAAATAAATAAAAATAAACATTGCAGTGATAGTATTACATGTAAATCACAATGAAATGTCATTTGAATGTTTCTAAAAGCTAAAATCAAGTAATAAGTCCAGAAATCAAAATGTGGTATACAAAATAACATTATATATACAAAATAACTATTATATTGCCTATAATAGTAGCACTGTTACTATTAATAGAAAAATAGATCAATGTGTTACATATATTGTGTAGTAATTTTGTTTTTAGTATAACCTTAAGATGTTTCATTTTCTAACATCATTCTATTTCCACCTGAGCTGATTTAAAGGCAACAAAAAGAAAAATCCCTTAAAATAATATTAACCTCAAAACATACATAATCAAACAAAATGGTTGGATTGCTGTGGCTCAACTTCCCAATTTGTCTTCCAGAAGGCTTCACATTTTCCTTGGTTAGGCGCCTACAGAGGAAGAAAAAGGTGGCAGGGATCATCTTAAGTAACATTCCTTGTAATGTTGATAGCTTTGTTACATCATCGTGTGGGAAAAAGCAATTATTCCCCAAATATCGAAAACGGATTAATGCAAACAACCACATTCATCACATCCTTTATGGCAGGATTTGGGCTATTTTGGTTAGGGATTCTCCCAGAGGGTGTTGAGATTTTATATTAAATGCTTAACATTTATAAAATACACATTTCCACTTCATAGTAATAGTCTGATAATCAGTAAAACTCTTAATGTACTCTGCAAGTACGTAAAACCCTTCTTACAAAGAATCAAAATTATTTCAGATTTAGGAGGACTCATTTATCTGTTTAGGGATTAAGATATCAAATTTGGTGTCAAGCAATGAAATGCCTCATGCCATCTGGCTCAGTGACTCTAACACAGCAATAGGTAATGCTGCACTCCTCAATATGTAAAGTTATCTGCTTTTCATATTCAAGGTAAACAATGTTTTGAAACTAAATTCTACTCCTTTCCTTCCTATTTCTTCCTTTGCTCATCATCCTTTTACCAGCATTCTTCAAATTTATATTTATTAATTCTTAGAGTTCAAAACAATTATTATACAGAATCTTAAATGTCTCTGCTGAGATTATTACATAATAAATCTAGAGACTTGAAAAGGCTACACGTGACAGGAAGGAAGCTTTCTAGGATGAAAATATAATGAAGTAAATTATGAATTCAGTTTATAATTCAGGAGATGTGACCATTATCCAAGTGACAAACTTGCTATAATTAATTTCTCATGACAAAACTGGCCCCATCAATCAAAATTATTTCATCATCAACTGCTGCCCTTTCCAATTCTCCATATCCCAGTTTTTGTTTCATAGAAAAGAGAGACCATTAGTTTTAACAGCTATACAGTATTTTGTTCAAATTTCCAACTTACCACTACCTGTCCCTATTTCTAACCCCAATATTTCAGGTGCCTCCCTCTATTTGCCAAGGTCAACCCCTCCTCTCTCTGTTTTTTATTCCATTCCCTTCTGCCTCCATCACCCTGGAGGGACAAACAAACAAAAATTAAAGAAATATTTTCTTGTCTTTGTCTTCCCCTCAAACCACCAGTGTCTAGCATATGGAACACAACAAACATTTGTAGAAAGAATTATTAAATGCCCTATAGCAAGCTCATGTTTTAAATAGTATTCAAAACTCATGAAATTCTACAAGTAATAAATTAATACATTATATGCTTAATGTAAAAACTTCAAACAGTAACAAAATCATATTGTTTAAGCCTGGTAAAATAGTTTTAACTTACGAATATAACAAAAATCCAAGTATATTAAAAATTCTGCACATATTATTCTGTAGTAAATTATATTTTTATTCATTCATATTAATACCTATGATGACAGTCAAAGTACTAAGCATTAGAAAAACAAGGAAGATTGTGTCTCTCAGCCTTTTGGCTAAGGTCAAGCGTAGAAATATAAGGATGAGGCCGGGTGCAGTGGCTCACACCTGTAATCCCACCACTTTGGGAGGCCGAGGTGGGTGAATCACAAGGTTAGAAGTTTGAGACCAGCCTGGCCAACATGGTGAAACCCCGTCTCTACTAAAAATACAAAAAATTAGCTGGACGTAGTGGTGGGCGCCTGTAATCCCAACTATCTGGGAGGCCGAGGCAGGAGAATAGCTTGAACCCAGGAGGCAGAGGTTGCAGTGAGCCAAGATTGTACCACTGCAGCACTCCAGCGTGGGCGACAGTGTAAAACTCCATCTCCCAAAAAAAAAAAAAAAAAAGGATGAATAACAGAATAACAGTTCCTGCTCTCAAGCCTGGTCCAGTGAGGGACACAGATTTAAAATCATTTATTAAATTTCAATATTCTTAAAAAGAGCAATCAACAGAATAGTACTTATATGCTATTGATAATCTAAAAGGTGGCTGGGGTGTGGTGGCTTACGTCTGTAACTCCAGCACTAAGACTAAGAGGTCAAGGTGGGAAGATCACTTGAGGCCAGGAGTTCAAGACCAGCCTGGGCAACATAGTGAGGTCCCATTTTTACAAAGAAAAAACAATATTAATATAATAATAATAATAAGGGGGGAAAATATATTCGTACTGACTTGCATATACACAAGAATATATGGAAGGATAAATAAGAGACTAAACAGTGGTTACTTTATTTTCCTTGGGGGGAAGAACTGAGTAGATAGAGGATGGGGTGAGACTTTTTGCTGTATGTATACCTTTTATATTTACTGAAACTTAACCCATGTAAACATATAAACTATTCAAAACATTAGATAATTAAAAACAGAAAAACAATCATATCAATGTACCTAGAGGTATGATAACATTATATGCATAAAAAATAGCGGTGGAAATAAAGATCGATTGTGCTTGGCAGTTTATGCTAGGGAAGCCTTCACTGGAAGTAACACTGGAGCTCACTCTCCAAGAATGAGGTCACCAGATGGAAAGGGGGAAAGGAAGGTAAGGGAAAATCTGTACCAACAGAGGAAACAAAAAGTATATACAGGAGAAGAGAAGCTAAGGAGAGAGTGGTACATTTAGGGAAACATTAGTAGGCTCAGCACATCTGGAAGTAGAATTGGCAGGAAAGGAGGTTGTATGCAGGGAGGGACAAACCAGGGAGGACCTCTTATTTATATCACCATGCCATAGAGCCTAACATATACCTTCAGGTAAAGTCAGTCACCAAAGGATTTTTAAGTAAGAGAATATACAAATCACTGTAATACGCCAGATAAAAGAACTAAGGGAGTGGTGGCAGAGACAGCGGATGAATTTAAGGTATTTAATAATGCTTAATGTATTATTAAACAATCCATGCAGAGCACTTAGTTCAATGTCTGGCACATATAGTAAGAGCTCCCCTAAATATTAGCTGATGTTGTTAAGCTAGAAACTGTACCTGGAGAACTCTTAAGTCCAGAAACTCTTTCAGATCTAATATCGTCTCCTGCCAAGCAAAACTCCCCCAAGTGAAATCATTTACTCTCATCTATCCTCCCATAGCACTTTATTCATGCTGTATAACATGTATAACCTATTAAACTAGGTTGTTTCAATATAATTCATAGGCTCACAGGGAAAAAAAAATAGATTGTGATCATGCACACACCTGTTTTTCCCAGTAGACTGTGACCAGAAACAGTATCACTGGGCAAAGACAACATTTAACAGATATTACACACTGTTAAATCTCAATAAACTGAGAACGAACTACTTTTAATTAGAATACCATACCACAAGAATTTAAAAAAGGAATGACAACTGACAATAGCCTCATTGAAAACACTTGCAATACAGCAATGTAATTAAGTATCTAAACTAATACGAATCTGAAGTATATGATTTTCATAATTAAACTTCAAATAATCTACTGGGAAGTAGAACATCACTCTTATGTTTTTAATGATATGAAAATAAAAGTGTACAAATTTTTTTAAAAAAGAAATTTCTCAAAAGTTGACTCCCTGCAGAGATAGTTCTGGATAATTTCATTAGTTCTTCCTAACAGATTAAAAAAATGTATTATGGCAACTTTCAGCAGAGGAAACTGCTAGAACTTTTACTACCTTGCACAAATCACTAAAGGTGAGCAAAGGCCACAGCAGGCTGTCCTTAAAAAGAAGAAAACAAAACCCTCATCCTATAACATGATGCATGTATTAAAGAGGATTTTCATTAGATTTTTATCCCTATGTAAACAGGACAACTATGAAAACATTAACTTGGTAGTCAAAATGAGCTAAAACCACAGTTAATAGTCATTCCATCTGTAGTATATAAATCAGCTATACCATTCACAACACATAGGCTTTCTCAAAACTGAGGCTCAGACAAGCTACCTGAAAGAAAATAAATGAGCTCCAGATATAATTTAGATTAATATGAAAAATAAATTAAAACTTACTTCATGATATATTTGGCTCTGTCTATTGTTTGAGCTTTAACTTTTACTAAAAGTGGGTGACTGTTATAAGTTTCATTCTTCCACTGGCCATACAGACGGTATCTTAAAAAACGATGAGATGAAGAATTAGGAAAAGTTAAACACTTAGAGGTTAATATACTAGAATTACTAATAGTTAAAAACATGAAAATAATATGTATTTACCTATGCTGATATGGAAATGTTTTAAACATTCCCCATAGTTCCTCAGACATACAAGCATTGCAGTCCATCAAAGAAAGAGATGGAAGTAGTACCTGGTCAGTAATGCTAAGCAAACAGCTAAGGATAACTTCCTAAAAGAAAGAAGGAAAAGTTATTTCAGTAAGAGGTCTATATTAATATAATCAACAATAAATTTATGACAGCCTTGGGAAAATTACTGTTTCTTAATCTCATAACACATAATATCCCATTCCTCACCCACCTTTTTCACAATGCTTATTTATGTTTCTCCATCTAAGACATAAAATGGGGTGAGGAAAGGAAAGGGGTAGCAAAGGAATGAGGAACTTTTATCTCTCTTCGTTTTTCAACACATTAATCCTCAGGGGAAAAAATGTTAATCTTAAAAGATAACTTTGCATAAGCTGCCAAAAACTATAATCAGCATCTACATTATAAAACAATTACTCATACAGATGATTAAAGCTTGTTCACAGTAAAATTAGTAGTATACTGTACCAAGACAAACATTAGACACATTATTGGATTTTTCTAGTCTCTTACCGTTTTTTCTTTATCTTCTTGTTTGCTTCCATCAGACTGAAACTATAATTTAAAAAAAGAAACTAATAAAATACAAAATGGCTAAGATTATGGTGTCACAATTTAGGTTCTAATTTGAAAAAAACTTTAACTTGCACATGATTCTTACTTTTTACAAATATGTAGATTTTAAATATAGCCTGTTAACCTTTTTAAATTTTATCTATGTTTCTAACCTCTAAGTCACACTTGATATCCATGAATTTTAAGTGTCAATTTTTATAAACCAATTCTTTTCTCAACCTATCAAACCAACGCATCCTAAAATTGATCTAAGTATTTATTATAAAAATGTAGTGAGGGCTGGGCATGGTGCCTCACGCCTGTAATCCCAGGACTTTGGGAGGCCGACGTGGGCAGATCCCCTGAGGTCAGGCGTTTGAGACCAGCCTGTCCAACATGGCGAAACCCCGTCTCTACTGAAAATACAAAAATTAACCAGGCATAGTGGCGCGCACCTGTAGCCTCAGCTACTCGGGAGGCTTAGGCAGAAGAACCGCTTGAACCCAGGAGGCATAGGTTGCAGTGAGCCAAGATCGTGCCATTGCACACCAGCCTGGGCGACAAGAGCAAAAAAAAAGAAAGAAAAAAAAATTGTGGCCAGTACAATAATTTCATTATAATACATTTGCAGTTTTCCATCCAGAGATTATAGTTTTTCTTCTATGGAATTAGTATAATCAAACACTAAAGCAACAAAAAGCAAAAACAAAGCCAAATTAAACACAAAGAAATTTAAAACTATCTTTTAATTCACCACTCCCAAAGTCCTCACTGAAAGATAAGCCCAAAATACCAATAACATTACTAACAAAGACAAAACCATTGCTTAAACTGTACAGACTGAATGAAAAATCCTGGGTCTGTATTATATAAACAATTTGTAGATTTGCAGATGAGCCCCTAAAGTGATGTTTGACAAGGATGTCTATTAATTCAAAATTAAACAGTGATGATATTTGTGTGAATGTAAACAGAGACAGCGGGTGGAGTCTGTAGAAGACAAAAAGACAACTAAAGTACTGACAACCAGTGACAATCTAGATTTCTGACAAGAATTTAGCTCAATATCAAGTGAGAAAGAGGGAAAAGCTAATATGCAGATAATAAGCTTCTTATTTTCTTGGTAGATAAGGGTGTTTTGTGTATGCATACATTTTCACACTTCAGTAATGGATGTTACCACAGGAAAAGTCTAACCGTTATGCTACATTTTCACATAACACTAATTCAGGGCCTGCCATGTTACCTTTATGGGAAAATACATACACTCAATTTGTTTTTAATTGGCAGGTTAAAAAGGTATGGTTCCTTTCACAGAAATAATTTATTAAGTCAACATATATCCTGGTAAGCAAAGAGGAACTGGGTTACAGAGGAGTGGCCTGGCAGAAAAAAGTCAGATGGTTTGGTTTGGTTTGGGGGTGGTGAGGTGGCACACACATAATTCTGGTGGCATATAGGATGTACATTGGGAAACAAAAATACAGGTATCCTGTAATTGGAAAAACTAGGTTTATGGTATATTATGTCGGGGATAAAGACAGTTAAGCTCCTCCTTTCCTGGTATACTACAATTTAAACAAATCTAATAAAGCAACACACAGTTTTTTTCCCACAGAAATAAAACATTTTCTTATTTACTAAGTTGTCCTAATTCCCTTTCTAGGTGACTCTTATGAGTTTCAAGCATCTATTCTCTAGATTTCATATCAATTTCAAGCATCAATTCTCTAGATTTCATAAGCAGGAAAATTTGAAAAGGGGAAAGAAATATAGGAAGCAAAATAAAACCAACTAGAAGAGCAGTAAAAGACCTTCCTATCAAAGTCGAATTATGGCAAGAATGTACAAAATTAAATCAAGAAGTACATGCAAATAAAAGGAATTTTCTTGTTTGGTAGGAAAATACATTCTACTCCCTTGATACTTTTTCTCTTAGTTTAATTTGCTTTTTAATTCAAAGCAACTGTAAGATTCTCACACAACACTATAAGTTTTATTGAATGCCAGCTAGAAATGGGAGGGAGACAGAAACAGGGAGGGAGAACAAGAGACATGCATTCATGCATTCATTCATTCATTTACTGACTAAATTCCAGGCATTGGGAATTCAAATATGAACAGGACAGAGTACTGGCACCTCTTGAAGATCAAAAACTATACTTGGGCCAGGCATGGTGGCACATGCCTATAGTCCCAGTTACTCGGGAAACTGAGGCAGGAGAATTGCTTGAACCCGGGAGGTGGTGGTTGCAGTGAGCCTAGATCACGCCACTGCACTCCAGCCTAAGAGCAACAGAGCAAGACTCCGTCTCAAAAAAAAAAAAAAAAAAAAAAAAGGTTTTGAAAATGGAAAATAAAACCTGCAGATCTATGAAGATCAAAGGGGAAGTTTTAAAAAAAGCTGTATCAATTGTTGAGACCTGGCAAATTATTTAAATTTCATCAGCCTAATTTCTATGAACTCTCAGAAATCATGGCTTCGGTGGCTGGCAAGGTGGCCAAATAGAAACAGCTCCAGTCTGCAGCTCCCAGCAAGAAGGTGAATTATTTCTGCATTTCCAACTGAGGTACCCAGCTCATCTCAGTGGGACTGGTTAAACAGTGGGTGCAGTCCACGGAGGGTGAGCCAAAGCAGGGTGGGGCATCGCCTCACCCAGGAAGTGCAAGGGGTCGGAGAACTCCCTCCCCTAGCCAAGGGAAGCCATGAAGGACTGTGCCGTGAGGAATGGTAGATTCTGGCCCAGATACTAAGCTTTTCCCACAGTCTTCACAATCCGCAGACCAGGAGACTCCCTCTGTGCCTACACCACCAGGGTCCTGGGTTTCAAGCACAAAATTGGATGGCCGTTTGGGCAGACACTGAGCTAGCTGCAGGAGTCTTCTTTCACACCCCAGTAGTTCCTGGAACACCAGCGAGACAGAACCATCCACTCCCCTGGAAAGGGGGCTGAAGCCACAGAGCCAAGTGGTCTAGCTCAGTGAATCCCACCCCCACGGAGCCCAGCAAGCTAAGATCCACTGGCTTGACATTCTCGCTGCCAGCACAGCAGTCTTAAGTCAAGCCGGGACAGAGGCTTGAGTAGGTGGTTTTCCCTTCACAGTGTAAACAAAGCCACTGGGAAGTTCAAAGTGAGCAGAGCCCACTGCAACGTCCCAAAGCTGGTATAGCCTGACTGTCTCTCTAAATTCCTCCTCTCTGGGCAGGGCATCTCTGAAAGAAAGGCAGCAGCCCCAGTCAGGGGCTTATAAATAAAACTTCCATCTTCCTGGGACAGAGCACCTGGGGGAAGAGGTGGCTGTGGGCACAGCTTCAGCAGACTTAAATGTTCCTGCCTGCTAGCTCTGAAGGGGACAGCGGATCTCTCAGGACAGCGCTCAAGCTCTGCTAAGAGAGAGACTGCCTCCTCAAGTGGGTGATTGACCCCTGTGCCTCCTGACCAAGAGACACTTCCCAGCAGGGGTCGGCAGACATCATACAGGAGAGCTCTGGCTGGCATTTGGCAGGTGCCCCTCCAGGATGAAGCTTCCAGAAGAAGGAAAAGACAGCAATCTTTGCTGTTCTGTAGCCTCCGCTGGAGCTACCCAGGCAAACAGGGTCTGAAGTGGACCTCCAGCGAACTCCAGCAGACCTGCAGCAGAGAGGCCTATTAGAAGGAAAAGTAACAAACAGAAAGTAATAGAGTCAACACCAACAAATAGGACGTTCACACAAAAACTCCACCCGAATGTCACCAACATCAAAGACCAAAGGTAGATAAATCCACGAAGATGAGGAAAAAACAGCACAAAAAGGCTGAAAATTCCAAAAACCAGAATGCCTCTTCTCCAAAGGATCACAACTCCTCAACAACAAGGGAACAAAACTGGACAGAGAATGAGTTTGAGGAACTGACAGAAGTAGGCTTCAGAAGGTGGGTAATAAGAAACTCCTCCAAGCTAAAGGAACATGTTCTAACCCAATGCAAGGAAGCTAAGAACCTTGAAAAAAGGTTAGAGAATTGCTAACTAGAAAAACCAGTTAAGAGAACAAAAATGACCTCATGGAGCTGAAAGACACAGCATGAGAACTTCCTGAAGCATACACAAGTATCTATAGCCGAATCGATCAAGCAGAAGAAAGGATATGAGAGACTGAAGCTCAAGTTAATGAAACAAAGCGTGAAGACAAGATTAGAGAAAAAAAAATGAAAAAAGAACAAACAAAGCCTCCAAGAAACATGGGACTATGTGAAAAGACCAAACCTACGTTTGATTCGTGTACCTGAAAGTCACAGGGAGAATGGAACCAAGTTGGAAAACACTCTTCAGAGTATTATCCAGGAAAACTTCTCCAATCTAGCAAGACAGGCCAACATTCAAATTCAGGAAATACAGAGACCACCACAAAGATACTCCTCGAGAAGAGCAACCCCAAGACACATAATCATCAGATTCATCAAGGTCAAAACAAAGAAAAAAATATTAAGGGCAGCCAGAGAGAAAGGTCAGGTTACCCACAAAGGGAAGCCCATCAGACTAACAGCAGATCTCTCAGCAGAAACCTTACAAGCCAGAAGAGAGTGGGGTCTAATAATCAACATTCTTAAAGAAAAGAATTTTCAACCCAGAAGGTCATATCCAGCCAAACTAAGTTTCATAAGCGAAGGAGAAGTAAAATCCTTTACAGACAAGCAAATGCTGAGAGATTTTGTCACTACCAGGCCTGCCTTATAAGAGCTCTTGAAGGAAGCACTAAATATGGAAAGGAAAGACTGGTTACAGCTACTGCAAAAACCTACCAAATTGTAAACACCATCGACACTGTGAAGAAACTGCATCAACTAACAGGCAAAATAACCAGCTAGCATCATAATGACAGGATCAAATTCACACATAACAATATGAACCTTAAATGTAAATGGGCTAAATGCCCCTAAATTAAAAGACACAGACTAGCAAATTGGATAGAGTCAAGACCCATCAGTGTGCTGTATTCGGGAGACCCATCTCACGTGCAA